CACAGAAGATATTCCAGTAACTGAGACGAGGACAGAGGATTCTTCTGGAGGAGCTTATAGTGAGAGAACACAAGTATGTCCAATGAGGACGTCTATTATCAAGAAGCATGACGTATGCTACATTGAAAGTGCATTGTACCTACTGTCTCTTCCTCAAATACTTGCTGAGAGGGGACACAAGGAAGACATGCAATTAAGGAAAGCTATAGGAAACAAGTATGCTTGTAGTCTTAGATGTGTAGAAGTCAGATATACCATCCATAGTTAGGAATTATTGAGCAATATGTTTTTACAGTAGCTCAAATATGGTCAAATATGCAATTTCTGGAGGCATAAATATGGGACTTTTATTTTGACATTTCTCCACACTGGTGCAGTAAAGATACTCGATATGAGGTGTTTTTTATTCATCAGGGGCGCATGGAAAACTTTAATGTAACATATTTTATTTTAATGTTCATAATACCTTTATTTTGAAAACCGGAAGTGAATACCTGTTTCTCCGCATTTACCGTAATGCTGAGAATACTTGTACACTCTAAATTTACCTGCGGCTGATTTGATCACGGGGATCGAACTCACGGCTGGATTGACCGCAGTAGTTCGGCAGACTGACGGTGGTCTTGACCGGTCTCGTTAAAAAAACCCGAGTCCGCCCAGTCCGAGACCGAGACAAGACCAAGAACCTCAACAAATGGTCTGGACCGGTCTCGAGTACTACACTACACCAACCTCAAGGTTGATACTGATTGTGGCCACACCACTGATCTTGAGCCATGGTGGATCTGAGGTTGTTTTCAGGAGTTTGAACTGAGGCTCATGGCGGTTCCTGGTCTGATGATTCAGCTGCAGGTGGTCCCAAATATTTATTAAATCATATATTATTATAACAAACCAGTGTATCAGTAACTCATATTATTATTCAGTTGCTAAGCATTTTAATCCCTAGTCTCTACATAGAGTCCCACACAGTGGACGATATAGGGAGGAGTGAGTGATACAGGACTCAGCCTCAGTCCCATCTGCTCACAGCTCTCTGCATAAACATACTCTACCTGTATATATCATTATATAATATATAATAGATACTTATCTGTGGTCATCAGTGTATACGCTCATCTTTATCACCTCGCTCTATAAAGTCCACATGTTGATATCCTCCTCTGCACATGAGGCACTGACTCACTCAGCACGAGTCTGCTCTCTGGTTGGATGTAAAACTGTATTTCACGGGACTTGAACTTCACAGTAAAGTTAAAACTAATCCAAACTGGATCTAATCTAATGTTGCTATATGGACAGAAATAATAGACTCTTCACATCCACTCAGTTTAATGTCAGAGCACACAAAGTGCTGACGCTATATACTGTAGGTAGGCCAACCCAGGCCAACCCAGGCCAACCCAGGCCAACCCAGGCCAACGCAGGCCAACCCAGGCCAACCCAGGCCAACGCAGGCCAACGCAGGCCAACCCAGGCCAACCCAGGCCAACGCAGGCCAACGCAGGCCAACCCAGGCCAATGCAGGCCAGCAGTCTGAACCAGTCTTATGACAGTCTCATTATGACTGCGTGTTAATAATAATAAATATATAATAAATAAACATATAATAAATAAACATATAATAAATAAATATATAATAAATAAATATATAATAAATAAACATATAATAAATAAACATATAATAAATAAATATATATAAAATAAATATATAATAAATAAATATATAATAAATAAATATATAATAAATAAATATGTAATAAATAAACATATAATAAATAAATATATAATAAATAAACATAATAAATAAACATATAATCAATAAATATATAATCAATAAATATATATATAAATAAATATATAATAAATATATAATAAATAAACATAATAAATAAACATAATAAATAAATATATAATAAATAAACATATAATAAATAAACATATAATAAATAAACATATAATAAATAAACATATAATAAATACATATATAATAAATATATAATAAATAAACATATAATAAATAAACATATAATAAATAAATATATAATAAATAAACATATAATAAATACATATATAATAAATAAACATATAATAAATAAACATAATAAATATATAATAAATAAACATAATAAATAAACATATAATAAATAAATATATAATAAATAAATATATAATAAATACATATTTAATAAATATATAATAAATAAACATATAATAAATAAATATATAATAAATAAATATATAATAAATAAACATATAATAAATAAACATATAATAAATAAATATATAATAAATAAATATATAATAAATAAATATATAATCAACATTATGAACCTTTCTCTCTTCTGTACGTTTCTCCTGCTCTTCTTTTCTGCACTTTCCAAACTGCACCCCGGATGGTCGTTTCATTTTCCATGGACTGTAGCTGTAACCATAGTAACCATAGTAACCACAGTAACCATAGTAACCATAGTAACCACAGTAACCATAGTAACCCGTCGACACACAGCCGACCGACCGACTGTGCGTCAGTGTGCGCAGCATGTTGTGACCGTGACGTGTAACAGCTAAAGGTCAGAGGTCAGAATCGTTTCTTTTACTGAAGTTTAATTTATGTTTTATGTCACCGTGTTGTTGTAGATAGAGGGATCGCAAAAACTGTTGAACAAATAAATACACATTATCATTTTAATTATAACTTTTTTCTCGCCACATATTTGCCGCCCCTCACTAGGTGGCGCCCTCGGCAAGCGCCTACGTCGCCTGTAGGAAGGACCGCCACTGCTCGTGTGCCTCCTGCTGGTCGGACTGATCACTCTCTTTAGATGCTGCTCTGGTTTGTGGTGGCCAGTGTTGGGCTAGTTACTCAGAAAAAGTAATTTATTACTCATTACTTATTACTCTTAATATGTTATACTACTAGTTATATTACTTTTACTAAATTAATGAATAATTGTGTCCTTTCTGCCCAAATTTAGACTTTTAATTTAGAAATTAAAATCCAGTTCTGTTTGTTAAAAGTATTTTCCTCTACGATTACAAACATGAATCCAAGGATGTGATTGGTTGTTGGATTAAAGAACTACTAACTATTTATTTTGGTTAACTGTAATATTATTACTGAGATGTATTAGTACTTACTTACACTACTAGTTAGTGTAGAAAGTAATCTGATTACTAGTAATGAGTTACTGTCCAACACTGGTGCTTTATCACTTTATTGGTGGGGGGTCTCACAGGTAGAACAGTGTGTGTGCACCATCAGTGGGTAAACAGAGTCTCAGTGATAATAAAGTGTACAGTAATTACAGCTCACCCTCACTGACTGCTGCAGCTCCTCTTCAGCTCCACACTGAGACTAAAACCCTCTGAAGGACTCACATGATGCTGGTTGTCTGTCCACTGGGACCGAGGACCAGTCGGTACAATCATTGTTAAACTGATCACAACGTCTGCACTCACAGGAGGAAACAATGGTCATTAAAACCTTCAGCTTCACCACAAACTATGATCAGATAATGAGACTGTGTCTGTATTATCAGTATGGAGGGAACAGACCAGGGGGTTAAACTGCTGGCCTGCAGCCCATTTCCTCCACATGAAGAGGAAAATCTCGATCAAGATTGATAGTTTTCTACCTCTTCACATACAGTTCAAATAAAAACAAACAAAAGAACAAATTTGGTTTGAAATGATGACAAAGCTCACAGGTTCCTGCTGATGTGTTTAAAAGGTTGAGGAGAGAGCAGGTTTCAGGGGTTTATATATACATATATATATAGTTTATATATAGATATAGTGTTTGGTTTCAACAGATGGATAATAGAAATATTGATCTTCATTGATAAACACTGAATCTGAGGACAATACACCGGCTGTGGCCCCACTGAGAGGCTGGATCAGACTCTATAATGAACATTAATAACTCTGCATTAAGTCTGTCTGTTATTATGGTAATATATTATTATTATATGCAGATAATCTGCCCCAGACTAACAGCAGGGACTCATTAATCTGGTTCCTGATCTGTTCAGTCATCAGTTAATAAAAGAATAAAATGGATTAATAAAATACTACAGGTAGGACTATATACTGTTATTATTTTAATAACGAATACTACAGGTAGGACTATATATTACTGTTATTATTTTAATAATAAATACTACAGGTAGGACTATATACTGTTATTATTTTAATAATAAATACTACAGGTAGGACTATATACTGTTAATATTTGAACATTGTGACCATTATTATTTCTGTATTGTGTTTATCAATAATATATATGAAGGCCTATGATATTAAGAGCTGTGGGTAATCAATAATGAGTCGGTTCCATATGAACCTGCAGCTTCTCTCACTGACCCTAACCCTTCTGTTCAGAACCAACGTACACATAAAGTTGAGTTGAATGGTTGTCGGTGACGTTAAACCTTCATGAACTTTAAACACAAACGTCTTTAAAACTTTAATATGAACTTTATAATCAATGACAGAGCTCTCAGACAGAATCAATAGATCATTCCACTTCCTGTTGATTGATATCTGATCAATAATCCACAGAGAGTTTCTGACTGCAGGTAATAAAATCATTCACACCACCAGATTATATTGGATTCAAAAAGCTGAATATTGATTTCACACAGTAAAGCATCAGAGTCCAGATCCAGAGCCACACTGAACCTGATCCAGGACCGTCCTCATAAAGGTCCACAACCAACAGGACTGTCCTGGATCAGGTTCAGACCAGCTCAGTATCAGAGTCCAGATCATCAGAGAATCAGTGTTCAGATGGTCCAGCAGGTGGCAGCACTGACAGTCTGCTGAGCTCCAAACACAGCAAGCAGGACCAGGACCAGGGACAGGGACAGGAACAGGAACAGGACCAGGGCCAGGACCAGGGACAGGGGTAGGGATAGGAACAGGAACAGGACCAGGGACAGGACCAGGGACAGGACCAGGACCAGGATCAGTTACTGGGAACCAGAATCCTTCCTGGATTAAAGAAGAGAACAAAGTCAAGAACAAATACAGACACCACGTCATTTAAACTAGTCTGAACTGGTCTGAGACGAGGTCAGGGTTCAGGATCCTGCCTGTTAGTGGGAATTAGACTCCTGGTTCTGGTTTAAAGAACAAGATGACTAAAGGGCCCTGGTGGTCCAAACTGATCCAAAACAAGTACACTGAGACAACCACATTGAGCGGTTTCTGAAGGACTAATGAGGATAAACCAGACTGAGACTCTGATAAACCTGGTCTGAGACTGGACTAAAACTGGTTTAATAGTTGGGTACTGATCTGGTTTCAGTCTGGGTACTGGTTGGGTTTTAGTCTTGAACTGGTCTGGGTACTGGTCTGGTTTCAGTCTGGGTGCTGGTCTGGGTACTGTTCTAGTTTCAGTCTGGGTACTGGTCTGGGTACTGGTCTGGTTTCAGTCTGGGTCCTGGTCTGGGTACTGTTCTGGTTTCAGTCTGGGTACTGGTCTGGGTACTGGTCTGGTTTCAGTCTGGGTACTGGTCTGACCTCGGGCCTTCCTCTTGTAGTAGATGAATCCAGCCAGAGACAAGATCAGACCCAGGATCAGTCCGGAGGCTCCGATGGCGATCTTGTTTCTCTCAGACTCAGGCATGGAGGGGTCTGAGGACAGACAGGCAGACAGACAGGTGAGCAGGAAGACAGGTAAAGAGACAGGTAGACAGATAAAGAGACAGACAGGTATTTACCCCAGTCAGTAACCAGAGGTTCTCTCAGGCTGGCGTGCTCCACCACACAGGAGATCTTCTCTCCAGACCTGAATCAACACAAACAGCAAATCAGAGGGTCTGGACCTGAACCTGGACCTAACCGGACCTGAACCTGGTCCTGTACTGACCTGGGCGTGTACTCCAGGTGAGAGTGGATCTGGACCTATATGAACCTTGTTCTGGTCCGGTACTGACCTGGGCGTATACTCCAGGTTAGAGTGGATCCGAACCTATCTAAACCTGGTTCTGGTCCGGTACTGGCCTGGGCGTGTACTCCAGGTGAGAGTGGATCTGAACCTATCTGAACCTGATTCTGGTCCTGTACTGACCTGGGCGTGTACTCCAGGTGAGAGTGGACCGGACCTATCTGGACCTGGTTCTGGTTCTGTACTGACCTGGGCGTGTACTCCAGAGACAGGTAGACAGTACTCCAGGTGAGAGTGGATCTGGACCTGGTTCTTGTTCTGTACTGACCTGGGTGTGTACTCCAGGTGAGAGTGGATCTGGACCTATCTGAACCTGGTTCTGGTCCTGTACTGACCTGGGCGTATACTCTAGGTGAGAGTGGACCTGGTTCTGGTTCTGGTTCTGTACTGACCTGGGTGTGTACTCCAGGTTTGAGTGGACCTGGTTCTGGTTCTGGTCCTGTACTGACCTGTGCCTGTATTCCAGGTGAGAGTGGACCTGTACTGACCTGGGCGTGTACTCCAGGTTTGAGTGGACCTGGTTCTGGTTCTGGTTCTGTACTGACCTGGGCGTGTACTCCAGGTTTGAGTGGACCTGGTTCTGGTTCTGGTTCTGTACTGACCTGGGCGTGTACTCCAGGTGAGAGTGGATCTGGACCTGGTTCTGGTTCTGTACTGACCTGGGCGTGTACTCCAGGTGAGAGTGGACCTGGTTCTGGTTCTGTACTGACCTGGGCGTGTACTCCAGGTGAGAGTGGATCTGGTAGAACCAATCAGCGTCTGCCAGCTCATCAGTGGAAGTGACATCAGAGGTGACTTCCTGTCCGTCTCTGAGCCAGCTCACTCTGATGTGTTTGGGGAAGAAGTCGTAGACGCTGCAGACCAACATGGAGGGATGTTTACCAGCAGGGGGCGCCACCGAGCTCAGTCTGACATAGGGCTTAACTGGAACACAGACGTTAGGATCATTAATATTATTAATGTTAATGTCATTATTATTAATATTAGTATCAGTGATATCAGTATGGAACAGAAGGTCTGATACATAAAATCAATGAATATAATCAATGAATATAATCAATGAATATAATCAATAAAGGTTTATTTCTCTTTAAATCAACAGTTGTAGTAACAGACTTTAACCAGCAGGTGGAGACACAGAGCTGAGTGATTGTTCACTGATCAATAATACTTAATCAATAAGTAATATAGTGTCACTAATAGTACTGATCAATATTATAATCCTTAATCAATAAAGTAATATCTGATCAATATTTACAGTATTTGATTATATAATGAGACAGTGATCACTTCCTGTTAGCAGAGTCAATAAAGAAGTGATCAATATAAAGAGTTAATCAATAAGATGCTGTTGATGTTACACAAACACAAACTCACCTGATTTATCCAGAGCATTCGGGTAGTCAATGTTAACGTTGTTCAGGCAGTACCTCTCCTTCTCACCTCTCATCTGAGCCAGTTATGAAGTATCACTGTTCCAGTATTTAGCCTGTTTCACTCCCCACTCAGTGTAACCAACAAACTCTCCCACACTGCTGCTGAACCTGGCGTACTCCAACTTGTTGAAATAGTACGAGTTGATGTACTCGATGTCCTTCAGATCAGTGGAGTTAAACACACAGCGAGCTGTTATAAATTCCAGAAATCCATCTGTAGAACAAAAACAGTGAATCAAGTTAATCAGAGTGAAACTACAGTAACAACTGATCACTGTATTGATCAGTGATCAGTGTATTGATCCTACCTGCTGTGTAGAGGCTGATAAAGTATAATCAGTGTGTATTGATCAGTGATCAGTGTATTGATCCTACCTGCTGTGTAGAGGCTGATAAAGTATAATCAGTGTATATTGATCAGTGATCAGTGTATTGATCCTACCTGCTGTGTAGAGGCTGATGATGAAGAGGAGGGAGAAGCTGAGAAAGGATGAAGCCATGTTCCTCTGTTCACTTCACAAACACTGACACAGTCTGACTGAGAGCGGCTCTAAAAAGCAGAGAACACATCACATGACCTGCTCGTCAGCTGTTACCAGGCAGACTGTTCAGCACAAAGTCCAGCAGACACAGTTCACTCTACACTGCAGTTTATATGTGTTTATTCTGGATTAATATCATTACACAGTGCAGTTTATATGTGTTTATTCTGGATTAATATCATTACACTGCAGTTTATATGTGTTTATTCTGGATTAATATCATTACACTGCAGTTTATATGTGTTTATTCTGGATTAATATCATTACACTGCAGGTTATATGTGTTTATTCTGGATTAATATCATTACACTGCAGTTTATATGTGTTTATTCTGGATTAATATCATTACACTGCAGTTTATATGTGTTTATTCTGGATTAATATCATTACACTGCAGGTTATATGTGTTTATTCTGGATTAATATCATTAAATCCATCCAGTTAAATTGAAATCAAACATTTCCAGCTGACCAGGTGAAACCTACAGAACATTGAGGTAACCAAACAACTATGAAGGACTAAAAGTGCCACAATTAAATAAACAAATACACCATTAAATAATTACTTAAATGTGTCATTAATTAATTAAAATTGAAATTAAACACATAAATGTGATATTAAATGTGTCATTAATTCATTCAAATACCGATTCATTTAATGTAAAATACATATATATAATTATTTCACTATTTAATTAATTATTTCATGGTCCTGTGTTGCAGTGCTTCATGAATTACTTAAAACTGTCAAACCTGCCCATCAAAGTCAGTGGGGGGGGGGCTAACGCTGATCTAGTCTGATCCATTGCTTTGGTCTGAAGTAGAGTGCCTGGATAGAGACGATGGTCACTAACAGGCGGACCGTGGTCCAAGTCCGGACCCAGGCGCAGTCCTATGCGGACCCAGACCTATAATCAATTCATTATTGAGGGATTCTAAATTTCTATTTTAACCAGCACAGCTTTTTTAGTCTTTACGGTATTTGTTTAGCAGATCATCCAATCAAATCTGTTTAAACAGCGCGACTGAATACAGAGATGAGAGCGATGAGAGAGGAGAGACAGACAGAAAGAGAAGTCACAGATAGATGGAGAGGAAACAGAGAGATGAGTGAGCGAGAGACAACAGAAGATTTATGGCGCTCTCTAAGAAGAGAAAAGTGGATAGAAAATGGAGCTTTTAATGGACAGATTCATTCACATTCATTCTTCCCCCTGGGAGCACATAACCAATGTGTCTCATGTTCAGAGTTTTCATCAAACCTACCCACTCAAGTCTGAACAAGGTCACAGAAAATAAGCAGGCTCAGATCCCAATATGATCACTCAACCAGTGTCCTGACCAGTGTTGGGAGTAACGGCGTTTAAGTATAACGGCGTTACTAACGGCGTTATTTTTTCAGTAACGGAGTAATCTAATTAATTACTTTTCCCATCGTTGTAACGCCGTTACCGTTACTGAGAATGTAAAGTGGCGCGTTACTTGCGTTCCTACAATGTGTGTGAGTGAAGCGCAGCAGTGTCAGGCTTTCTGACAGCCACACATCAGCTGCCAGCAGAGGGCAGCGTGGTGATGATGATCGGCTGGTTGGGCAGATGCCAAGACAGAGACAATGGCGCCGAGCTAGGGAAATTCAAAGGTAGCGATATCAAACTGGAAGTTCCAACACTACTACTCGCTTACTGAAGTTAAAGGCAAGAATGTTTATGTAACGTGTGAATTTTATTTATTTTGTATATATTTTTATTTCTATGCATATGGCCGGCTGCAATCTATTGAGTTCAAATAAATACCAAATGTTCTAAAATACTGTATATAGTGTTTTTATTCTTTATTCAGTGATTATAAACATCTTTAACGTTATAGAAGATGTTATAGAATGTAATTATAGACCATAAAAAATAACATCACAGTTACTTTGCTGAGTAACTAATTAATTTTACAATGTGGTAACTGAGTTACAAATTACTTTTGGGATAAGTAATTTGTAAATGTAACTAATTACTTTTTTAAAGTAAGATGACCAACACGGATCCTGACCCATTGATTCACTGCCCAACAAGGGAGAGAGGTCAGAGGTCAATTCTCTCACTGAACAACAGAAAGTGTGTAGAAAGATATAAAAGGGAAAGAAAGAGAAACTGTTCAATTGTAAAGATGTGTTGATATTCATTTATAAAATTTGTTGAGACTGTTAATCAAGATATGAAACAGTTAACAAAGAAAAGGGAAACTCAAGCTGCTGCTACACTTTATTTTTCAAAGTTAAACATTTTATTTTTTAGACTTAGAGGATGTGGAAGCAGGAGCTGCTGACCCAGAGCATGTAGCGAGTAAACCAGAGGCACTTATTGAAGTTCTTGGAGTTATTTCCGCACTTTCTGACCAAGATATTGACCACAGAGTGACTGCAGATTTAGAAGAAGTAGTCCAATAGCGCCACCCAGTGTATTGGAATGTGTTCACTAGCTCTGCATCGATCCATTATCTGGAATTGATTTGTCTTGGCTTGATGCGCAGGGTAATCAATGAGGCGTTAGGATCCGCCTACCAACTTTTGATGGGTGAGTTTGACAGATTAAAGTAATTCATGAAGCACTGCAACGCAGGACCATGACATGTAAATGTAAATAGTGAAATAATTATATATGTATTTTACATTAAATGAATCGGTATTTGAATGAATTAATGACACATTTAATATCACATTTATGTATTTAATTCCAATTTTAATTAATTAATGACACATTTAAGTAATTATTTAATGGTGTATTTATTTATTTAATTGTGGCACTTTTAGTCCTCCATAAACAACATCAGCAGAAACTTTACTGAATGTGAATGATACAATCTGACACATGCACACATACTAACAACCAGTAGATCACTGAAGAGCTTCAACCAACACGTTACAGCAGAATGTGGAATAACACATTGTTGATTATCTCATATTAACTCCTTTATACGTTGGGGCCAAAATGTTCACTTTACTTTCAGCATTATTATTATTAACAAATAAAATATTTTTATTCAAGATTTATTTACCTTGAATTTAAAATATTCACAGATCATTTTAAATGTGAGAGCAGAAATAATACTTTCCTTTTATCAAATTCAGCTGTTTAAATTTATGATTCCATAACATTTCTACCAATATAAAATAGACTGTATTATCATCTACTGTCTGGCTACAATGACGACTTCGTGGCCTTCTGGTGGCTTGTGGGCCCTGTAGTCTGCAAACAAGAAGCAACAATAATGCAAATTGCACTTTCATTTTTACTCAAATAACACAGAACTACATGTGGAAAATGATGATGCTATGGTGGATTATATTATTACATTTTAAAGAGAACATTATCATTTGAATCTCTACCCACTGAGCTAACCGGGCATCCTGCTCTCAGATATTAATGTCAGAGCCAGACCTCACTGTTGTTCTGTAAAGAAGAATACATTTAAACTGCAGCCAAACTGCTTCCACTCAGTGTCACACAAAAGAGGAAGACTTACTTTATTCATCATAATAATTATAATTATTTGTAGATTTGTCTTAAAGGAGACATATTAGGATCATTTTCAGGTTGATAATTGTATTTAGTGTCTTTAGTAGAACAGGTTTAGATGTTTTAATGTTCATTAAACACATTGTTTTCCTCATACTGCCTCTTTTCAGCCTCAGTGTGAAACGCTCAGTTAGAGCTCCTGTCTCTTTAAGACACTGATGACGCATTGGCCCCTCCCCTTCATTGCCGGCAGGTATCTCCTCACTGTTACTGAGTTTATCTGCATTTCTACCGTCAATATTAATTCAATAACTGCTTCTAAAGCAAAAACTTCACCAGCGGACATGTTAGAGCGGGAGTCTGACCTGAAATCAACAACAACAATCAGGATTACAGCTTTCTGTGACGAGTTCCTCAGGTAAATACTGCTATATTAACTACATATACATACATATAACTAATATATATATATATATATATATATATATATTAACCTCTATCTATCACATAATGTTAGTGTTTCTACCTTAACTATGAGAACCAACACTGTGTTTTATGTCTTTCCAGGTACAGCAGTGAGCAGTGACCTACAGTCTACACAGCCCAGTGAAGTTAAACATATTATATATTCCATAATATTAACAACATTAGTCAAGCAGTTGTTTCTAGTGAAGAAACAGCCAGTAACTGTACCAAAGTAATCAGAGTAATAGTATAATGATTACCGTAACCTCCCATCTGTTATATTCTTTATACACATTAGTTTACTGAGACCATGGAAACAGAAACCTGGAATACTTTATCCTGTACAACATGCCAACATAACTGAAGGAATCACTCATCTAACAAAGTCAATTGTTTATGTGGTTTAAAAACTGCTCAGTAACCAACTGTTAACTGCACTGTATCCATATTTCATAGTCTGATATTTTAACTTAAAAGTATTATTACCAAAGTTAACTTAACTAACTTATTATGTTTTAACCCTATTAAAAATACTATAAATATACTGAACATTGTATCATTTATATTACTGTATCATTATATTATATATCATTATATCATTAATCTGCCAACATCATAATAAAGTCTGAAACAGAAATGTGTTGTTGCTTACGGTTATTTACTACAGGATTACTAGCTAATCTATTTCACATGTTCATATTGATAGATGTTACATGAACCAGGTTTTCAACTCTTGTACATGCAGGAAATCTTCATAAAACCTCTGTGAAATAACATGTTATTTATATAAAACCACACTTATTACTGAATTTAAAAATAAAACTCTTTATTCATATTTCATTCATATTCCAGTGACACAGAAATATAAACTGTGTGTATGCTGACAGTAACAAAGATATAACTTTTATGTAAACTGTGCAGTCTATAATATATAATATACAGTATAATATGATACAGTATAATAGAATAATAATAACAATAATAATAATAATACATTTTATTTATAAGCGCTTTTCTAAATACTCAAAGACACTTTACATAAAAACATAAAAGCAGCAAAACAACATCAAATAGTAAAACATTAAAAACACATCAGACTAAGCTAAACATTAAAAGCAATTTTAAAAAGGTGAGTTTTTGTCTGTGATTTGAATGTTGGAAGGTCGGTACAGTCACGGATGTGTTTGGGGAGAGAGTTCCAGAGGGAGGGGGCAGCTACAGAGAACGCTCTGTCGCCCCCAGGTTCGGTGCTTGGTTCGGGGTGGAGGAGTCAGGAGGTTTGCTTCAGGTGAGCGGAGGCTGCGGGATGGATTGTGGCGATGGAGCAGGTCAGTGAGGTAGGAAGGAGCCTGGTTATGGAGGGCTTTGTGTGTAAGGAGGAGGATTTTGAACTGAATGCGCAGTGGAACTGGGAGCCAGTGGAGGTTCTGGAGGACGGGAGTGATGTGATCACGGGTGCGGGTGTGGGTGAGCATACGTGCAGCGGAGTTTTGGATGTACTGTAGCTTAAATAAATAAATTAATAATTAATTATTATTAAATATAATACAGTAGAATGTAATGCAGTATAATATAATACAGTATAATATAATATAATACAGTATAATATAATATAATACAGTGTAATATAATATACAGTATAATATAATACAGTGTAATATAATACAGTGTAATATAATACAGTGTAATATAATATACAGTATAATATAATACAGTATAATATAATACAGTATAATATAATATACAGTATAATATAATACAGTATAATATAATATACAGTATAATATAATACAGTATAATATAATATACAGTATAATATAATATACAGTATAATATGATACAGTGTAATATAATACAGTATAATATAATATACAGTATAATATAATATACAGTATAATATAATACAGTATAATATAATACAGTACAACAGCTCATTGTGGCTCACAGTAGTCCTCAGTTATAATGTAAAATAATAAAGCAGTGTCTCTGGTGGTTCCTTGTTGCAGCTAACTGTAGTGATGTGTTGTTCTTTAAGAAGGAAACAGTCTGAGGTTACCAACTCTATCTCTAATGTGTAGCTAATGACAGCAGCTACACACAGAGCTATAATGATAACAGGTCATTTATTTAATCAGTTACTGATGAAGAAACAGATTACACAGACATTTACTGACTGTAACTGATGTTGTGATAAACTAAAGGCTCATAAATACAGTACAGGTTCCTGCAGCACTAACAGACATTTAACAGTGAGCCTCAGTGTTGTTTATAATATAATAGATGATATAAGGAGGAGATGTTACTGAGGTATATTTTCTACTGATAACACATACATTAAATCTCTCTCTCTCTCTCTCTCTGTGAAAAACATATGATGTTCACATGCTGGAATGTAAGAAACATCTGCTTTATACTTATGTCTGTTTCCATGTAAGGAGATACAGTGAGAGGGGAGCAGAGCAATTTCTATAAAAGGAAATTCCTTTCATTTTAATGGTTACAGAATGTTTACATGCAAGTATATAAGGGCTGACTGAAGGAGAGAGGGGGGAATTCGGCCAGAACATGCATCTGACACACTCGTTTTTGTTTAATAAAGTCCTAAATCAAAGCAAGAAGAGTGGCGGACCTTTTCTTGTTCAGTCATCCACAGACCAACTTTAGGCAGCTGCGAAAATACACCACATTACACTGGACCAGCACTTATATCATCAGAAATACCAGGACTGGGCGCCAGTTAGCTCAGTGGGTAGAGCTGGCGACCCATGTACTGAGGCTGAGTCCTTGCTGCAGCGGCCCAGGGTTCGAATCCAACCTGCGGCCCTTTGCTGCGTATCATCCCCTCTCTCTGTCCCCCTTTCCTGTCTGTCTACAGCTGTCACTGTAATAAAGGCAATAAAAGCCCCAAAAAATATACTTTAAGAAAAAGAAATACCAGTACTATTAGTCTGGGTTTGACTCCAGTCACACAACCTATTTCTATCAGAAACAAAGACAACCTGCTGGTTTTATCTTCCTCTGATGATGGGAGGACATGCAGACTTTGTGAACATCAGGACAGCTGCAGCACTTTCAGCCTGTCAGCTACAGACAGGACAAACATGGTGGACAGCAGCAAAGGAAACTCTGCTCTGTGGGAGGGGGGTTAGTCAGAGGGGAGGTGGTTAGTCAGAGGGGAGGTGGCGCTCTGTTAATGAACTGCTTTCTGATATAGGAAGGACAGCTGTTGGAGCTCAGGTCTTCTGACATCAGCAGCCACAATAAAAGGACTGAGTTGATTTCTCCAGTTTCTGGGTTGGTAGGCCCAAATACCCAAATATGTGCACAAACACTAAAAAGTGCATTTAGCATAATATGTCCCCTTTAATATCATTATCATATAAAGATCATTGATTACAGTTCAAAGGTTGGATGAATCCTCCTCACAGGCTCTGTAGTGTTTCTGTAGTTCACTGTGGTTAATCTCAGTCAGCTTCATTTAATACTGTCAATAATCAATAATCAACAACAGGACACATTCATGTTTATTCCTTTATTACAGTAAATTCCTACAATGATTGATTCTCCATCAGGTTATTGATCACATTAGACAGTGGCAGATAAAGAAGATTAAAGTGATTATTGGACAGAAGCTGTGCAGTGAATCATCAAACAGCAGTTAGTAAATCAACGTATGTGAGCACTCACTATTGATCAATCAATCAATCAATATACAGCAAAGACTATATGTTAAAGACCTGAGGCCTGGACACGAAGCAGGTTGACTGAATGTGGCTGTCCCTGCTTTCAGATCACACTTATTGATCTATTATTATTGATGTTGGACATTAAACTCATTGATTACTGTGTGTTTCTACTGACAGTGAACTCATCATCCATCAGACTACTGATCAATAAAGTCTGTAACCTCCTGATCAATCAATTTCAATCTGAACAGAACTGATCACAGAACAGCTGCTGACACTGACGTTATCAGAAAATACAGATGTGATCCAGAAAACTCAGAAAACCTGATCCTTAGAAAAAGCCCCTTATATGACATCATCAGCCCCAACCAATCAGCTGCACTCGTTTCCTTTGATGAGGAAGAAGGTTCCAGCAGCGACACCGAGCAGACCGACAGTCAGACCGAGTCCACAGAACACTGCAGGTCCAATACTGGGTTCAGGCTTCTCCACATCTGGAGACAGAAAGACACAAACATTAACACACTGCAGGTCCAATACTGGGTTCAGGCTTCTCCACATCTGGAGACAGAAAGACACAAACATTAACACACTGCAGCTACACCTCCACATCTGGAGACGGAAACATTAATGCAGCTACACCTCCACATCTGGAGACAGAAACATTAATGCAGCTACACCTCCACATCTGGAGACAGAAACATTAACACACTGCAGCTACACCTCCACATCTGGAGACAGAAAGACACAAACATTAACACACTGCAGGTCCAATACTGGGTTCAGGCTTCTCCACATCTGGAGACAGAAAGATTAATGCACTGCAGCTACACCTCCACATCTGGAGACAGAAACATTAACACACTGCAGCTGCACCTCCACATCTGGAGACAGAAACATTAACACACTGCTGTTACACCTCCACATCTGGAGACAGAAACATTAATGCAGCTGCACCTCCACATCTGGAGACAGAAACATTAACACACTGCAGCTACACCTCCACATCTGGAGACAGAAACATTAACACACTGCTGTTACACCTCCACATCTGGAGACAGAAACATTAATGCAGCTGCACCTCCACATCTGGAGACAGAAACATTAACACACTGCAGCTACACCTCCACATCTGGAGACAGAAACATTAACACACTGCAGCTACACCTCCACATCTGGAGACAGAAACATTAACACACTGCAGCTACACCTCCACATCTGGAGACAGAAACATTAACACACTGCAGCTACACCTCCACATCTGGAGACAGAAACATTAACCTACTGATGTTACACCTCCACATCTGGAGACAGATGTGTACCATGGTCAGTTAGTAAAGTGTCTGTTTGTATTTTGAGTGAATTTAAATAAAGTTGTCTCACCCCAGAATCGGGTCAGTGGGTCTTTCAGAGACAGATGTTTCACTGAACAGCTGTACATGTCTCCCAGCTGTGGGATGAACTCCAGTCTGGACGTCTGGGTGAAGGTGGTGTCTGTGTTCAGGTAGGGAACATTGATGCTGGTTCCTTCAGTCACGTTCTTTCCGTTCTTGGTCCAGTAGACCTTTACAGGAGCAGGATAGAAACCAGTCACATGACAGATGAGGGTGTTCTTCTCTCCGAGCTCCACGTTGTCTCTGGTGTAGATCATCGGACTGGAAGGAGGATCTGTACAGAAACAGTACGGTTCGATGCTGATGCTTTCACTTACATTTTCGTATGTTTTGACGTACAAATGATGTTGAGATTATAATGATGATGTCACACACTCTAGTTCAGAAATCCCATCTATAAGCGTATAATTAGGCCATTTGCCCAGTTTTTAAGGATTTACATGGAAATTATTATTATTGTTTTTTTTAGTATATTTTTTGGGCTTTTATTGCCTTTATTACAGTGACAGCTGAAGACAGACAGGGAAGGGGGGAGAGAGAGAGGATGACACACAGCAAAGGGCTGCAGGTCGGATTCGAACCCTGGGCCGCTGCAGCAAGGACTCAGCCTCGGTACATGGGGTCACCAGCTCTACCCACTGAGCTAACCGGGCGCCCGGAAATGATTTATTTTTTGTTAGTTTTTTAGTGGTTTTAATCAGCGGGTCTGTTTGTTCTGGAGAGGAGGAGCCCCTCCCCCTCTCTCTCCATGTACCATACAGGCTGTGTGTGTCTCTGATACTTTCAATTGGAGCACTGAGGGATGTTTTGAGTTAATTTATGATACTCGGATTTATAAAATGAAACCTTTATGTAATTTTAAGGTCACTGAGGTTTACTAGGGCGCTGATGGGTAGCCTTTAAATAGGTGACCACAGCGCTTTTCAGGAAATGAATTTACATTGTGTGCTTGATCCCTTTTTGTTGTTTGTTGTAAAGTCAACCAGAGTGTATAGATCAATAATGATATTCAGTTACTTTAAACAGAAGTGTGTTAGTCACTCATCACCTAACTTTAGACGGCTCATAGAAGACTTTTCTTTACATGAACAATCCCTAGTGGCAGCAATGATACACTGCACGTTTAATGTGTCAATGAAACATTCACTGTCAACATGTTTTATTAATTATATTAACCCAGGGTGGATTATTAAGATTTGATCATTGGGCTGATCAGATCTATTAAGATTTTGTGGTTGTGTTGAATGAAAAATCTACAGATTTTAATGATCAAACTATAAATTAAACAATATTTGATTACTCATAGGCCTGATGAGTTTCAGCCATTGATATTAACCCGAACCCTAAACTTTAAACACCGTCAGAGGAGGTTTTACTATTCTAAAGTTTATAAAGTTAAATCATCAGAGTCATATAATCCAGTCATATAGTGTAATTTACCCAAACCTGTCAATACTCAGTACATTCATTTACAGTTCAAATATATTTGAATGGAAGTGAATCAAAGTGAATGAACATAATAATTTTATATTTGTCTTACCGAGCTGCAGAGGAGGGTTCTTATAGGCCTGGAGAGCCACCTTCAGGTTCTGTCTGCAGATCTGTTGATTAGCCACAGCATTTTCATAAGTTCCTTCCACGTAGCTCATATGATCTATGAAGTTGGGTTGAGGCTCCACTCCTTTCTTGTTGATGAAGTCTGCGACCCATTTCTCTTCACCATCCAGACCGTACATCACCTCTCCATCAGAGTCTGAACAGCCATCGATAGCAATGTCCTCATGAAGAACTGAAGATAGAAACAGATCATTGATTGATTGATTGTTACTGTCTGTCTGTCTGTTACTGTCTGTCTGTCTGTCTGTCTGTTACTGTCTGTCTGTTACTGTCTGTCTGTCTGTCTGTCTGTCTGTCTGTTAGTGTCTGTCTGTCTGTTACTGTCTGTCTGTTATTGTCTGTCTGTCTGTTACTGTCTGTCTGTCTGTTACTGTCTGTCTGTCTGTCTGTTACTGTCTGTCTGTCTGTTACTGTCTGTCTGTTACTGTCTGTCTGTCTGTTACTGTCTGTCTGTCTGTTACTGTCTGTCTGTCTGTCTGTCTGTCTGTCTGTTAGTGTCTGTCTGTTACTGTCTGTCTGTCTGTCTGTCTGTCAGAAACTTACCGTCAGCAGACACACAGGAGAACCAGAGAACCAGAACCATCATCATCATCATCTTCATCTTCAGCTCTCTGTAGACCTGAACCCGTCTGACTCTCTGTAGACCCGTCTGACTCTCTGTAGTCCTGAACCCGTCTGACTCTCTGTAGTCCTGAACCCGTCTGACTCTCCGTAGACCTGAACCCGTCTGACTCTCTGAACTCGTCTGACTCTCTGAACTCGTCTGACTCTCTGAACCCGTCTGACTCTCTGTAGTCCTGAACCCGTCTGACTCTCTGAACCCGTCTGACTCTCTGTAGACCTGAACCCGTCTGACTCTCTGTAGACCTGAACCCGTCTGACTCTCTGAACCCGTCTGACTCTCCGTAGACCTGAACCCGTCTGACTCTCTGTAGACCTGAACCCGTCTGACTCTCTGAACCCGTCTGACTCTCTGTAGACCTGAACCCGTCTGACTCTCTGTAGTCCTGAACCCGTCTGACTCTCTGTAGACCTGAACCCGTCTGAGACTGTGAACTGGTCTGAGGACTGACAGAGACTCTCTAACAGCCAATCAGAGAGCAGAGATCATATGATGTCATCAGTAACCAGGTAGAGACAGACTGCTGCTGACAGCTGGAGATCTTCCTGATAATCAATAATCATACTAATAATATATTATCAGTAATATATTATCAATAACTAATAATTTATTACCAATAACCAATAATATATTATCAATAACCAATGAGTAAGTCCTTTCACAATAAAGTTATTGTTGGACAGTTAAATATGAAACTGTGTTTAATACTGAGAGATTTTCAAAATAAAGTTGTTATATTATTTTATTTCAACACAAAAACTTTAAAAACTAATTTATAATAATAATTATTAATAAAGTCTGTGACTGTAATAGATTACTATATACTGTAGTGGAGTACTTTATACTGTAATGGAGTACTTTATACTGTAATGGAGTACTTTATACTGTAGTGGAGTATTTTATACTGTAATGGAGTACTTTATACTGTAATGGAGTACTGTACACTAAGGTATTAGTACTGTTACTGTACTGGAGTACTTTATACTGTAGTGGAGTACTTTATACTGTAATGGAGTATTTTATATTGTAATAGAGTACTTTATACTGTAATGGAGTACTGTATACTGCGGTATTAGTACTGTTACTGTAGTGGAGTACTTTATACTGTAATGGAGTACTTTATACTGATGTATTAGTACTGTTACTGTAATGGAGTACTTTATACTGTAATGGAGTACTTTTTTATACTGTAATGGAGTACTTTATACTGTAGTGGAGTACTTTATACTGTAATGGAGTACTGTTACTGTAGTGGAGTACTTTATACTGTAATGGAGTACTTTATACTGTAATGGAGTACTACTGTAATGGAGTACTTTATACTGTAGTGGAGTACATTATACTGTAATGGAATACTTTATACTGTAATAGAGTACTTTATACTGTAATGGAGTACTTTATACTGTAGTGGAGTACTTTATACTGTAATGGAGTACTGTTACTATAGTGGAGTACTTTATACTGTAATGGAGTACTTTATACTGTAATGGAGTACTACTGTAATGGAGTACTTTATACTGTAGTGGAGTACATTATACTGTAATGGAGTACTTTATACTGTAATAGAGTACTTTATACTGTAATAGAGTACTTTATACTGTAGTGGAGTACTTTATACTGTAATAGAGTACTTTATACTGTAATGGAGTACTTTATACTGCGGTATTAGTACTGTTACTGTAATGGAGTACTTTATACTGTAGTGGAGTACTTTATACTGTAATGGAGTACTTTATACTGTAATGGAGTACTTTATACTGTGGTATTAGTACTTTATACTGTAGTGGAGTACTTAATACTGTAGTGGAGTACTTTATACTGTAATGGAGTACTTTATACTGTAGTGGAGTACTTTATACTGTAATGGAGTACTTTATACTGATGTATAAGTACTGTTACTGTAGTGGAGTACTTTATACTGTATTGGAGTACTTTATACTGTAGTGGAGTACTTTATACTGTAATGGAGTATTTCATATTGTAATAGAGTACTTTATACTGTAATGGAGTACTGTATAATGCGGTATTAGTACTGTTACTGTAATGGAGTACTTTATACTGTAGTGGAGTACCTTTTACTGTAGTTGAGTACTTTATACTCAGGTATTAGTACTTTATACTGTAGTGGACTACCTTTTACTATAGTGGAGTACTGTTACTGTAGTGGAGTACTTTATACTGAGGTATTAGTACTGTTACTGTAATGGAGTACTTTATACTGTAATGGAGTACTTCATACTGTAATGGAATACTTTATACTGTAGTGGAGTACTTTATACTGTAAGAGAGTACTTTATACTGTAATGGAGTACTTTATACTGTGGTATTAGTACTTTATACTGTAATGGAGTACTTTATACTGTGGTATTAGTACTTTATACTGTAATGGAGTACTTTATACTGTGGTATTAGTACTTTATACTGTAATGGAGTACTTTATACTGTGGTATTAGTACTTTATACTGTAAAAGAGTACTTTATACTGTAGTGGAGTACTTTATACTGTAATGGAGTACTTTATATTGTGGTATTAGTACTTTATACTGTAATAGAGTACTTTATGCGGTAGTGGAGTACTTTATACTATAATGGAGTACTTTATACTGTAATAGAGTACTTTATACTGTGGTATATAGTACTTTATACTGTAATAGAATACTTTATACTGTAATAGAGTACTTTATACTGTAGTGGAGTACTTTATACTGTAATAGAGTACTTTATACTGTAGTGGAGTACTTTATACTGTAATGAAGTACTTTATACTGTAATAGAGTACTTTATACTGTGGTATTAGTACTTTATACTGTAATAGAGTACTTTATACTGTAATAGAGTACTTTACACTAGAGGACGTAGAGACACTTTACTGTTTATATCTGTCTGCTGCTCAACTGAGAGACAGACAGCGCCCACTGTACGTCGGTGAGACAGGTAGAGAGAGTGAAAACCTTTAAATCAGAAAGGACCTCACCTGGTCTCACCACACCCACCAGCTCCTGAAGAAAGCCCAGCAGAGACTTTACTTCCTAAGAAGACTGAGGACATTTCTGCATGTCAACCAAGATCCACAGCAACTTCTACAGATGTACAGTGGAGAGCATCATCATCAGCTCAGTGACAGTGTGGCAGCTGCACTGCTCAGGACAGGAAGGCTCTCCAGCATGTAATAAAAACTCTGGAGCAGCCTTCCCATCACTACAGGACATCTACACAACCAGGGTCATCAGGAGGGCCCACAACATCATAAAGGACAATCCCCACAACACAGCCACAGTCT